GCTTGACTACACTAGTAGCGCCAAGACGGGCAAGATGTTGGTGAGTAGGATTTCATTGTTTGTGTCGTGTTGTTTTGGTTGATGGATGCCTGTTCGAAGCGTATTGATCGACCCACAATGTCCCTCATCTCATTCTTTTTTCGTTCTCCTTGGTTTTGTTGGGTTTTTTATGTCGCCAGCTGGTTCTGGTGGATAGAGGAGTTCTTCGGCCTGGTGATCCCTTCGTCTCGGGGATGTTGTGGGGCTTCGTACGCTCAATCTACGACGAGGAGGGCGACAAGCTGCTCGAACATGCAGGTAGGTGGAAGAGCACCGCTTTGAACGCTCATTTGTACCCCCGTCCCCTGGTCAAGCGCGTTTCGAAGTCTGCAACGCTCGAGCTTGTTATGTGGGTGTTTCAGTCCCCCTGGTGCTCCCATTGCACCTCGTTCTGTTGTTCACTTTTGTTTGCCTTCGCATACTCACCGCGCAGGCTCACATCATGTTCGCATGGACAGTTTGTAGCCCGTGCGTTCCTTCCATGTTTCCTTCCGTCTGAGAAATTGTTGTTGCCGAACGTGACCTCCATGACCAGCGACGGCCCGGTGATATCGTCGGCCCCTGACTGACTGCTGTACTAAACCGGGCGTGGATCTCGGCTGGAAACGTTCTGTGTTCAGGTTCTGGGGTGGCAGCGAAAGTGGTTATCATAGCTCGAACTCGTGTGTCCGATGCTCCTTTGGGGGAACCGTTTCGGGTCTTGACAAAGGAGGCTGCCGAGCAGGTACGGTTGTGTATCCTGTCCCAATTGTTTTGCTGTCCTCTTCGGTATTTCTGCTTCGTGACCTGGTCCCCTTTCACCAAACGCCGGAAATGATGGAATATACTCATAGCCGGTCGCCCGGCAGGTCTAGTGGTTAACGTGGTAAACCTACAAGGAGGATGTGGGTTCGATTATCTCCATAGGCGACCTACCACGTGCCATCCCAGACTGACTTGGATTCATATTCACCGTTGATTTCGTCCGTAGCCCTTGATCCGCGAGTTGAAGAGCTAAAAGATCGGCCACTGTCATAAAACCGAGGGTCGTGAGCGGGGTGCCACCGGAAACCAAGTGCAGACACAAGAAGCCTGAGAAGCCGAGTTGTGTATTGTGTACCGTCGCGTATGCCGCGAAGGATGGCACATGGTTGATTTTCCCGATTAACGTGCGGCTTCGGGGTCCATTCCTTAGCCGTGCCCCCGGCATGCGGTCTTGTGCAGTGTTTCCTCCTGCCCAGCAAACATTCTAAGTGATGGTAGGGCATTGCGTTTGTTCACGGCGTGTCAGGTTGTCTCTGGTGCTCCTTTCCTGCTTGCTTTGATTCTCCCAACTTGACGCCTCACTTTTTAGCAGGTCGCAATCATTGGTCAAGGAGACTGCGAAATGTAGTCCTCGTAGCCTTGAAGTTGTTCCTTGGGCTAGAGACGCCATCTTGCCAAAAAAACACTCGCCTACCGAAGAGGGGTCTGCTGGATATGAGCATGCCGTGAGTGTGACTTGGCAGAGTACTTCTCCACGTGGAGCCTCCTAACCGAGTTGCGTCGGTGCTGTGCTAGGCTCCATCCATCACGACCTGAGAACGGCTGTCGTCACTGTCCCTCTCTTACACCTTGCTACTAAGTTGCAAAGACACAGTGTACCGAGTGGATCCCCGTCCTCTCTCCCCGGAAACTGCCCGTCTTGCAGGTAGCCCAAGTGCGCCTGCTGGCCCGCACTATTGACAACTTCGTCGACCATAACAAGCTGGACAGAGGATTCGCACACCTCTTGCGTGGGGACGAGGATGACGATGATCTATCTCATGACGGGAGCGACGAGGACGATCAACCTGGACGGCCGGCGGAACAGCCTGTCGGAACGGGTGATGACGTAGATTACTCTGAGACAACACTGAAAAGCACGGCACGGTCGCCCGAACCGTCCAGTCGGCGGCGGAGCAACCTCGAACAACAAGAGGAATTAGCTCCGGAGGACATGCCGGTGACCATCGTGGTCAAGACTGACAACGCCAACACTCTCGCCAGCGTGCTCGACGCGCTCGGAGACTGGGGAGACGTTGACAATTCCACGGAAAACGTTGGGGAACAACTCGCCGCAGAAGCGTCCGATAGCAACCCTGAAGGAGTTTTGGAGAGAGTTCGACGAAAGAAGCCGCAGGAGTGGCGGGAAGATGACCTGCAGCACAAGCAGCGCCGGAGGTTGCTTGTCTCCGTAGCTCACTCGGGTGTCGGGGCCGTGACGTCGTCTGACGTACGTCTCGCAAGAGACTGCGAATGTCCGGTGTTTGCTCACAACGTCAGGACCGACGCCTCCGCCACGAGGGAGCTGAAACGAGTGGGCGGGGGTGTAGTGCCCGCCTTGCCCGAGGGGGCGGCGGCGGCGGTTGGTGAGGAGGTGAGCGTAGGCATTGGAGGGCAGGAAGGGTTTATTGGGAGGGCGGGGGAGGGGAGAGAGTGCGTCGTGGTGTCGGAAACGGTAGGGGAGCTACTCGGCGAGATTGAAAGGTTTGTGTTGCGCGTCAGATAGTACCGATACAGCAGCGGAGAGGGGCGGTTCGCAACTTGTGTGTCAAACCCCGCCATTAGGTCTTTACTCAGTACGATTTGGTGCCTTCTCATGTCCGCGCCGGTCTAGATTCGTTCACGGAGTATGGCATGGGTATCCGCCAATATGACGCAGCTGGCGCTGTGGGTCGATGTGCCAAACGTTTGTAGCTCTCGTCGGTATCGGGGCCGCAGATAACGCGGGTGTGCGGAAAAGTCGTGCATTGCCCGTGAAGTTCAGACGCAGATTTTGTTTTCTGTCATCGTGTTCTTTTTCGAAATACCTCCCCAGTTGTATGGGAAGAGGCACGCGGGGGGGGCACGCGTCCGGGATTCTAATGTCAGACCTTGATTGTCACTCTCTGATTCGTGCAAAGCTACTTGTAGCTCCCGTAGTCTAGCACCAACAACGCGGCCCGCTTCGTGCAGCCTCCCCCCCACCAAAACACCTTCGATCCTCGGAAGCTGTTCATGCCAGTAGCATGGGTGATTTTGTTACCAACGCAACGCATCCAACTTCTTCGTTCATGGGGCGAACTGTTTGATGTTATGTGCTTTCGTCTCATCTACAAACCATTTGTAAGGGATATCATACTTGTCGACGACGTGAAGCTTTGGATGAAATGAGGCCTCCTGCTACACGGCACGGGATCCACCCAAACTTCCATCCCGTGTGTTGTTCATGGCCCTTTCATTGTTGCGTGAGAGAGTGTCAATCCCATACTTCCGCATACATTCACAAAATCGTCTTGTCTTTACCCGCATGTCGAGAAGCTTTCAGTGAAGCCCCCTTGCATTGCGGCGGGAGATGGACTGCATCCTTGTACACCCTTCCATGCTGGTGCCGCTCGGTTTCCGGGTGTCGCGGCTGCTTGGCGGAGGTGCTCACCGCCGGCGCCAGCGGCCTTACGTCAACCCCCTCCGTTGTGCCTCGTGTTCTCCAACCACGGCGCACTCCGTGCGAGCTTCGACCGGGGTTCCCGCCAGGGACTGGCTCATGACTCCCCCTGCCAGGAAGGCATACATCGTGTTCTGCCCTCCGTCGCCACCTTATGTCTCTTTCGCGCATGCAAGATGGCTGAGGAGCCGCGGTCATGCCTGCCGCCGAGGCCATTGCGGTTGCCCCCGCGAACCATCGGAAGCTCGGGAAACATGTACCCCTCACGTATATGTTCCAACCCGCTGACAGTCGGAAACTCTTGGATCGCTCGTAGACACAACACATTAGTCTACACTGACGGTCTGCTGCGTTTCACGACGACGACGGCGTGCGGCGAGCTCAATGTCTTCCCTAAGTGGAAATCAAGATCACCCCCCCTTTTCCCGTCTGTCAGGTGCAGCACTTGTGCTGCTAGGCACGCGCTAAATCGCGAACTCTGTTCATCGTGTGAAATGCCTCGAACCAAACATTTCACTGGGCGCCAGTCTACACCTGTGACCAGTACACTTTAGTTGAGCCCCCAAAAAATACTGTATGTAGCCGCTGAAATTATTTGGTAGAACTAGAGGTGTGTAAAAAATAAAATATGCTAAGATGAGGCTTCGCTTCATTTTTTGGTACTTGACGCGGGCATTTTTGATGCTGCTAATGTAGTAAAGATCCCAGCTTGTGACTGACGACTCCCCCATCCATAGACTATACGTTGACTGTAAACGGTCACAGCCCTGCCTGGCCAGGAGACGGAAAACATACGTTTCCAACTCGGATGTTCAAGCGTGGGGTTTGGGCGCCCGAGAAACAAACAAATTGTGTGCCTCTTGCTGTACATCTGAGAATGGGAGATATCGTGCGGTACATGATGTACCACGGGCACTGCCTAACCACATGAGCCTGTCGTTTGAACGCCCAGAAAAAACGCACAATGCCCGCTTCCTGGTCGCACTCGTGGCGAGGTTTTATTCGTTTGTTTCGCGAGAACACGGCTGGCTGCTGCTGCTGCTGCTGCTGCTGCTGCCGCTGCTGCCGCTGCTGCTGCTGCTGCTGCTGCTCCGTGTTTTTCTATGCATAGTCTCTTGTAAATAATATGTGCATTCGTGCATAGACTACGTCGTTTAGGTTAGACTAAAGGCTCGTTTTTAACGCTCCGGAACAGTCGTGCGATTTTCCACGGAGAAAACCCTACATATTTTCGATTATTCTACATTCCCCTTCTTCCCCTCGCTGCCTCGGGAAGGTTTTGCGGAGGCTTGGCCCATAGCGAGGGGGGGGTCTTTCTAGCGAACAGGGCTGGACTCACCCTCAAGGGACCGGTACCTTCTTGCTGCGGCGCACCCGCCGCGAGGCGTGTGTAGTGGTGGAGTTGGGTCGGCACTGGTGCGTCAGGTACAAAGGTGCAGATGCGCGGGCCTCCAGGCCGTCGGTGTAGGCAGCAATGCCCATCTCATCTTGTCTTTGTGCGCGGAGGCAGACGTCATCAGAAAGGTGGACGGGCACTATGTACACGGCCCTAGGTTTGCTAGAGGGAGCTGTACTATCTCAGTAACCTAGTTTTGCCATCAAAGGAGGAGGGGACAGGTGGTGACGAGCTGATTGGGCTGACCCTTCGGCGCGAGAATTTTCAGACCAAGAACCCTAAGTGCAACGAGGGAGAAAGCGAGGAACCGACTGGGAAGGACGGCAACGAGAGCGTTTACGAAGCGGAGCGGGTCGAGTTTGGTCGTGCTAGGACTGGCTACAGCGGCACCGGAGCAGCGGCACCGGAGCAGCGGAACCGGAGCATGCATGCGGACGGCATCGAACCGTGGCGCACGGATAAACATCTCTTGTATTGTCAATTATTTCCCGTTTTTTCCTGAAAATAGTCTAGGTGTTGGGTGTGTGTGTGATGACGTCACTGGTTTTGTAGAGAGATGCGTCAGAGATGGCGCGGATAACCCGGGTGCCTTAATTGTGTACCTGCATCGTGGAAGACCCCTTCAATGTGGAACGATTCCTAGTCAGTGTCGATGTTTACACTGCTGCTGTGCCTAACACAGGTGATCTGGATAGATTCGGGTGATTGTCAATTGCAATGATGGCTTTGGTAGGTTGGGTGTTCTTCTTCGTTCATTGTATGTCCACGGACTGATTCTGACAGCACTTCAGACAGCAGCTGCATGCCCCGAGCTTGTGTACCATGCACCATGGTGTTATTATTGTACAGACAGCACCCCAGGCAGCAGTACGCTGTAGTCGACAAACATTCATTTTGGTTAAATGCGGGACAAGGGGGGTGATGGTGCTGCTGTAGTAGTCGAATTGTACGGCCCTTCGAGGAGATCGTGTTCAACCTTCACCGGTATCCCGAGCTGTGTGGACGTGTATGTAGTTCTTCAGTTGTGAGCACGCAAACGTGCTGCAGGGATTGTAGGTGTACCTTCTCGGGCTTGTGTACCTTTTCTTGCGAATAATAGTGTGTGTTCTTTAGATTTTCTGATGGCTCTAGCATTTTTGTGACCACGGACCGAGTCTTCGCTAGATTTTGAGATTACACTGGTGGCCAGAGGGGCAGGTTGGGCACGAACCACAACCTGGGTGGGGGAGGTTGGGAGGCCCAGTTCGACCTTGGACCCATTTCTTCTTCGGGCTTGCAGCCCGCCGTGTTGATTGCAATAACGCCACTTTCCAAGATGCGGGATAACTTGCACACTTTGGGCTGCAACCTCCCTACAACCTCTCCCCCCAGGTTATAGTTGGTGCCCCAACCTACGCACAACCTGCCTCTGGCCACCCGACCCGTATTAGTTAGCAACTGACACGAGTTTAATGTGAAGAAAAACAACAACATTCATTGTATTCGTAACTTTTTATTATCTCTCCCATCATTGGACTCTGTCGTCTGCCCCTCTGGCCCCTATCCTCCACTTCTACTAGCTAGACGACCCAACCGGGGTCACATAGGAGGGGGGGGTTGGGCCCCCTCCTGCGGTTCCTGCCTGAGATATTTTTATCGCAAGAAGGATACAGCCAATCCCTTCCCTCGCGACTTATGAAGTCGGTCAAGTTTACTAACAACGAGCTTTGCGGCGCGTCACTTCCAACGGAGACCAGGATTTAATTAGCGAGAAAATACTCACTCTTCTTGTATTCGTAAATAAATGTCATCGCATGAAGGACGTTTCCTTCCCTGAATACACGCTTTGCTCGGCACAAACCAGGTTGACTTGGTGTTGCTCAACAGAGAGCAACAGTAAAAGCGCAACGAGCAGCACCCGACACGGAGGACAATACACTTAGAACGATCCTATCCACTCGGCCTGCTCTTTTCAGTTTTCAGCAACAACAGGCGCAGGGCAGAGTGTCGCAACCTGGGTGTTTCTTGCGATTTCTTCAGTTTGTTTGCCAGCTCATGTTTTTTCACGGTTGCGGCTCCCATCTTTGACCACCAACTGCCCAAAGGTAGTCGAGCTCAACAATCATAGGGCGGCAGCCGCGCTGACGGCCAGCATCATATAGATGGCCAATCCGAAAGAATTAGCGTGTCGGAGGCCCTGTTACTCTTCTTCTGCTGCGTGGTGCCGCCGTGGATTAATGTTGACGTGTCCGACCAAGCACAGATCATCTCGCCGCATTTTTTCCAGCGGCATTTTGATGAGGTGGCACACGTCTCTCACACACCTTATTCTTGAGCAGCACCCAAGCACCCAATACCCACGAAGCAGCACGGCGCCGGGAGATGGTATCATATAGATAGACAGCCGAACCGAAGGAATCAGCGCGTTGGAGGTCTTGGTGCTGCTGCTGTACTCGTTCTACTGTTTCCTTGATTGCAATGTGTGATTGAAGAAAATTCCCCAGCACCAACAACAGCAGCAGCTGAGTGAAGCCGAGAGCACTACGCAATGTCTAGTTTTCGACCAAGAACGGACTGAATTAACGCTGCTTCTGCCGCTTGTCCATCTCCACAACAACAGACCTGGATGTGAGTCTGGCAGCAGGTCTTTCTAGCGTTCTCAGTGATGTTACAGCGCCCGCGGTGCGCTTGTCCGATGCTGCTGTCAAAAACACGGATCCGTGAAGAAAGTAGCAAGCCCCTAAAAATCCCGGCTCCTTCTTTTCACGTTTTCGGGGGAAAACGCCTCCATATATGTTCAAGAAGACACGATTCCGTGAAATGTTCCGTGATTTTTTGGTCGTTAATAATACCCCAACTAACCAGGAACGAAGGATCTTTGAAAGTGCCGTGCCTACCAACTACAGCAGTACCAACTAGGCCAGGATTTTGACGAGCATCAAGCACCGAAATGCCCGGAATGCAGGGGAGCCGTGTAGGTCGGTTAGTCTACCGAAAATATGCATCATAGGTCCTTGCACTCGGTCCTGATCTTTTCAGCGAAGAGTGAGTAGTCTCAGCAGTGAGCTGCTCGATCGAGAACGAACAGCTTCAACGGGTTGGTTGCAAAACGGACGGACGGATACAAGTAGTAGTACATACATAGATCTACAGTCTTTCTGGGAGGTCACGCATTACGTTCTAAAAACGGTTGGTTGCTTGCGGGCCACAACCAACCTGGACATCAGGGAACCCTGGACAACCACATATATATAGGTCACTACCAAAACGCGGCTGTTGAGCTCTCTCTGCATGCTGTTGGCGGAGGATCGGTTGAAGCACAGGTAGGTTGAAAGGACACACACCAGCTACTGCACCGCCGACCACACCTGGCTGGCTGAACACATTGTCCCTCCATGGAAAGGATTGACTGCTCTTGCGGAGGCTCCTCTCATGAACACTGCGCATCTATCTCGCGACACAAGCAAAAAAGGTTTCAATAGTGAGCACCTGACGATGCATTTCGCTGGTCAGCGCTGCTCTACTATACCTACCTGTGCCTGTTTGTTGTTGTTGTTTCTCACATTAGCTCTATGGTCCACAAAAAATGGGAAGCTCGTGGTCTCAAAACCCGGCACATGCGATGCCGCGAGGAAACAAAACAAAAATAGGGTACAAACCACTCGGAAAAAGAAAACGAAATGATGGAAAGAAAAGAACAGGTACCGCACCGACCGTTCGAGAAAAGAGCCCTCGGAAACTTATCAAAATTAAACAAAAACAAACAAAAATATAGAGGACGTTTCCCACATCCCCCTAAAAAAACATCAAAGGGTACCGTACCAGCACCAGGCACTACGCACCCGGGTATGGGAGTAACGGAGCAAACAGGACCAAGAGGCGGCAGGTGGGCAGACAGCCAGATGTACAAAACCAAAGGCAACAGCAAAACAAGCGAGATCAAGGTACCCAACACAACAGAGTAGTCTAGGCAGGGAGGACATGAAAAAGAAACACAGCACAGAGGCCAAAGGCATTGCGAAGGACATACACTAAAGAGTACAGCATACAGCAGGGAGGGAAACAGGGCGTAACAACATCAGCCGGGTACATTGTACACCAGTCGCCCGGTGGTCTAGTGGGTAGGCTCATCGCAGCCTGCTAAGGGCCAGGTCATGGGTTCGAGTCCCGACAGAGTGAGATTTTTCTCGCTAATTAATTCCTGGTCTCCGTTGGAAGCGATGCGCTGCAAAGAAAGCTCGTTGTTAGTAAACTTGATCGACTTCTCAAGTCGCGAGGGAAGGGATTGCTGCACCCTTCTCGCGATAAAAATATCTCAGGCAGGAACCGCAGGAGGGGGTCCAACCCCCCCTCCTATGTGACCCCGGTTGGGTCGTCTAGCTGGTAGAAGTGGAGGATAGGGGCCAGAGGGGCAGACGACAGAGTCAGTCCAATGATGGGAGAAAAAAAAAATAAATACATAAATAAACAGTGCCCTTCTCGCGATAACCCCCCGGTGTTTACCACCGGGGTTGGGTTTTCGTCGCTTGGCAACGACGTTGTAAAACAAGCCGCCTCCCCCGGTGTTTGCCATCGGGATTGGGTTTTCGTCGCCTGGTAATGACATTGTAAAACAAGCCAATTCACTTCGTGAACTCGGCAAACCAGGTTGTTACCGGTTTTTTTTTACCTCTGTTTGTTTTTGGCGGTAACCATAATGAATGGTGGTCGAGTAGATCATGTTGTGCGGGGTCGAAAACCCTCACTCCGCGCGAGGGGGATGATCGGACCACGTTGTGTTAAAATGGTCAACCACCCTCGAGGCAGTAACACAGTGCTTACAACTGTCTCAGGAAGTGAAAGCACCAGAAAATAAATTAAGTCATACGCAGCTGTCATCCGTACGCAAGGAAGTAAGCACAAGATGCCGAACACCCTTAGCAGGATGCAGCGCACCCTTCATGCGGCTCGCCGAATATCTCACGGCGCTTCGCGCTTGGTGA